GAGATGCTGCCAGACCTGCTGAGCTTTTCCAGCAATTTTGTTTTTGTTGTCAGTGCTTCCTCGTCACAGGTTGCTGAGATGACCCCTATAATTCTTACGCTGGTCAAAATATTGGTTTTCAGTCATCTTTCTCCAGATGTTCCCACTAGTTTGCAAGAAAAAGTGGCTGGTTTGCTTTTAAAATGTGTCTGACGCATCAGTTAGAAGTCACTGCTTACAACAAATGCTGAAGGAAGGATGAACTGATTTTCTTCTGGCCAAAATGGATTTTGATTGCACAGAACAAACAGACACGTGGAGAGATCAAAACACTTCTCCTTATCTTGTTCCCAGCCGCAAGTTGTTCAGTTACTGAAGAACTGATCACACGTCTGTTGGCAGGCAAAAGGCTTTGTCAGTAATAGCTTACTGGTCATTCATCTGTAGACCAGTTAACTTCATATTGTCATCCAATTGCACCTGTACAGAATCCCTTGAGACAAATTTATCTGCAGCAATTTCAATTATTGCTTGTTTAAATAATGGAATTAGCGTAAGTGTCAGGTTACTTGGGTCCCCAATTTACAACTGTCTGATTTAGGAACACTTGCCCTTACGAAGGTGATCCCGTACAGAGGTATAATTTTAAAGACCTAACTTACAAATATTTCCTGTACATAGGAATGGCTGCTTTACAGTGTCCTGCTTTGTGTTCTGATTTGCATACAAATCGAGTTGTGAGCAGAGTCAGGAACAGAAAACTTTTGCAACCTGAGGACTGTTGGTACTTGCTATTCAAGTGCAATTCTTTAAAACACTGGCTCTAAAACTGCTGTTCCCCATTTTAATCCACAATTTTAAAAAGCACAAAAAAACCCATTTTAAACCAGAAGAAAACTCATTCATCTTTCCGTCAGAATTTGTCGTAACGCATGACTTTTAACTGATACGTCAGAGACATTTTATAAGTTAACCAAGAGAATAACAAGGAAAAGAGAAGAATTCATTAGGGACCACTGAAGCAATCTATGTGTGGAGCCTGAATACATGGACTCAGTCCTCAAACAACACTTTGCGTCGGTCTTCACAATGGAAAAGGACAACAGAGATACAGATGTTAGGGTGGAACATTGTGAAATTTTAGAAAAAAATTACATAGAGTGTGAGGAGGTACTAGTAAGTTTTATAATGATACTATGACTTTAAGAGATGTGTTTTGTCCTTTTTTTTTGAAGAGAGGTTTTGAGCCATTGGTCACGAGCTAGCTGTCTTTTCCAAGCCAATAAAGTAAACATCTTGTGAGGCCTTGGGTTTTTTTAAAGTTAGAACAATGGAAGCAGCATGAATAGATGGAATCAGGCTCCTTCAGAACCAGGGTTTTAGTTTAACTTTCAGTATTTGTTTGGGTTTTTGAAGCTGGTTGTGGAAGCTGCTACTACATCTTTCTCTCTCTGCTACAGCTAAAAGCTTGAGTTCACTCTCTGCTGCCTAAATCACATGTGAGGCAATCTGTTTTACTGACTTTGCTTTTGCCAAGGGTGTGCTTATGGTAGCTACTATATTGGAACAATTGTTGCTTAGTTGTTAAATAATCTATTGGAAAACTTAACAGTATAATAAAGTTATATCAATTCTTCTTTCATTTGTTTGTATTTTAACTATTGAGTAAGAATAGTGTGCATTTTGCTTAAAGCTGAGTAGTGTAACCAATCAAATTACATCTGGAACACAACACCTTACACTTACCTTTAAATAAGATAAAAGTTGGTGTCTAGGCTATCTCCTTGATATATCTGAAGGGGGTTTGGTCTGGTCCATAACAGCTTAACAGCCCTAAAAGTAGATAAACTCACAGGCCTTGATGAGATGGATTCCAGACTATTGAAGGGGACAAGAAGAATATCAAGGGGTCCTCTAGAAATGTTCAAATCCTCTCCTGCCACAAATGAGGTGCCAGAGGTTTGGACGACTACCACCATTGATCCATTATTAAAAAAGAGAGGAAGGAATAGATCAGGAAATGACCAGCCAGTCAGTCTAACCTTAGGGGTAGGGACATTATGAGATAAAGAATTCTGAGATAACAGACTATATCTGCATTTGGAGTGGCATGGATTAATCAGCATTAGAAGTGTGGATTTGTAAGGGAAGGTCATTGTTGACAAAAAAAAACTGAAAGAACAGAAACAAAAAACAGAAGTTGCTGGAAAAACTCAGAAGGTGTGGCAGCATCTGTGGAGAGAAATCAGAGTTAACATTTCAAGTCCAGCGACCTTTCTTCAGAACTTCTTTGAATGATACATTTGAACGAAAATCAGCTGACAGGCAGAAAGCAAACGGTTGTTTCTGTGGTTGAAAGTCTTTTCCAGTGGGGGTCTACCTGGATGGATGCTGGTGTCCTTGCTACTTGTGGTATGCATTTATGGTTTGGACTCAAGTGTAGGGGTATGATCAAGAAGTTCCCATATTATACAAAAATTAGTAGGATTGTAAATAGTAGGAATAGCTGTAAACTGCAGAAGGATATCAATGGACCAATCAGGTGGGTGACCAGTAGCAAATAGAATTGAAACTGGAAAAATGTAAGGTAATGCACTTAAGGAGAGCTTGACAAGGCAAGGAATCACTATAAATAGTAGAACCTGGAAAGTACTGAAGATCAGAGGAACTCTAGTCTGCATATCTACAGATTCCTGAAGCTAGCAGGGCAAACAGATCAGATTATTAAAAAGGTATATAAAATACTTCCTTTTACCAGCCAAGGCACAGTATTCAAGAGCAGAGAAGTCATGATGCAGCTATATAAAACATCAGGTGGGCGACAACTTAAACACAGTATGCAGTTCTGGTCATTTCACAACAGAAAGGATGTAATTGCACCAGGAAAGGTACAGAAATTTATGAAAATGTTGCCAGGACTGGAAAACTACAGCAGTGAAGAGAGATTATATTGACTGTGGTTGCATTTATATCATGCCTTTCTAAACGTCAGGGCATCCCAAAGAGCCAGATAAGCTCTTACATCTATTCAAGAGCCAGATGGGCTTCAGATTAAAATCTAAACCTAAAAGATGGCACATCCAACTTCTTGGGTACCACAATGGAGCATCAGCACAGATCAATGGAAATAATCGAAAATTGCTAATTCATTATTATCCATTCTATGTGAATCATACTAAATCAAAACTCTGTTGAATCTCTGTCTAAGATTGAGAGATTAAGCAAAAGGCCAAGTTTAAGCGGAATTGGCATGGTGGCCAAGATCACAGCAGAGTGCTGTTTATCCAGATTCAGCCAGTCAATATCCATAGGCCAACCACCTCCTTTCAGTAACAAGGACAGAACACCAACGCTTCACCAGAGGTGCATTGATGATGTTACCTAGCAGGGTGACGAAACAACTGCAATCAAACACACCGGCTCGTTGAGCAAGTCTGTAACCTAAGTCATGATTCCCAGAGGAGACAGACAGTGGAGTTGGACGGTTATTTTTTGAACTGGAAGCATATTACCAGCAGTGTTCCACACGGATCGGTGCTGGACTCTCTTTTGTTTGTCATTTATTCAAATGATTTAGATCAGAATATAGAAGGTTTGGTTAGTAAGTTTGCGGAGGACACCAAAATGGGTGGTATAGTAGACAGTGAAGAAGGTTATCTAAGATTACAAAGAGATCTTAATCAGTTGGGAAAGTGGGCTGAGGGGTGGCAAATGGAGTTTGATTTGGATTGATGCAAGGTATTGCATTTTGGTAAGATAAACAAGGGTAGGGCTTATACAATTAAAAGTAGGCCTTAGGTAGTGTTGTAGATGAGAGACCTAGGAGCTCCAGTACACAGTTCTTTGAAGTTTGCCCCACATGAAGACTGGGTGGTTAAGAAAGCATTTAGCATGCTTGCTTTCATTGCTCAGACCTTTCAGTATAGGAATTGGGATGTCATGTTGAGGTTGTATAGGACATTGGTGAGGCCTCCTCTGGAATACTGTGTCCAGTTCTGGTCACCTTGTTATAGCAAGTATATGATTTAGCTGCAGAGGGCTCAGAAAAGATTTACTTGGATGTTGCTTGGAATGGAATCACAGAGTCATTGAGAACATAGAGTCACGGAAACAGATCCTTCGGTCCAACTGGTTCATGCCAACCAGATACCCTAAATTAATCCGGTCCCATTTGCCAGCATTCAGACCATATCCCTCTAAACCTTTCCTATTCATATACTCAACCAGGTGCCTTTTAAATGTTGTAACTGTACCAGCCTCCACCACTTCCTCTGGCAGCTCATTCCATACATGCACCAGGACCTTGCATTTATATAGCACTTCTAACGTCATAAAAAATCGAAAGGCACCTCACAGGAATATATTTGGTCAAGCCTAAGGCGACGGTAAACGATCAAAGAGTAAGGCTTTAACAAGTGTCTTCAAGGACGTGAGAGAGGTGGGAAGTCAGTGATATTCAAGGAGAGAATTCCAGGAAATGGAGTCTGGAATAAAGCTGAAAGCAATCAATTTGATCCAGCTAATGTTGAGTTAGAGAAAGTGTGGCTTTGGGTCGGACGATAACTCTAGTGGACCTTCCCTGTCACTCATCCACAAGACAGAAACAGACTGTGGGACGAACGGACGCTCTGATTTATTTCAAATACATTTCCTCCGACGGGCGGGATGTATTTGTTTGTAAGAGCCGCTGTGAGGTTGATCTGTGTTCGCCCGGCGACTTGCAGAACGGGCGAGAGATGCGGCTCCTCGGCGGGAGGGTAACATCCGGAAGGGAGGGGAGAGAAGGAAGGGAGGAGGGTGACCTTCACGTCCTTGTGCGGCTGACCTGGAGTTTCCCCTCTTTTTCTTTTCCGGCACGCCGCCGGTTGGTGACGGAAAGAGAGGCCGAGCGGGCCTTCCGAGGCGAGCCCGGGGATTGAGAGCCTGGGCGGCGGTTGCTAGGGGTGACGCGACCGTTAGGGCCGTTACGGCCGTTGACCCCTGTCCACCCCCTCCTCTCCCGCCGCCATGTTGGCCGTTACCTGCTGACTTGGATGGAGCAGCCCGGAATCTGGCAGTGATACTTCTCGACGACTTGCATGTTTTGTCCTGTGCTGACTTGGATCCGGGTGCGAGTCGTGGTGCTGTTCCTGGTCCTGCGGCTCCTGGTCCGGTCCTGTCAGAGGGAGGGAGGATGATGACGAGACGCTGGAAGATTCAGACACACACTGGGGCAGCGACTAGTGTCAGCTCTCATCTAACGCAACATGCACAACACAGACTTACAACATCAATAGTTCACGTTTAATCTATCTATATATATATATAAGGGGGACTGGTGTTACATGTCGCAGTTTCCTTGTCCCAGACAGGCCAACTTTCTTCAAAAATCAAAAGTAATGCGGATGCTGGAAGTCTGGGACAAACGCAGAAATTATGCTGGAGAAATTCAGCAGCATCTGGGGAGGGAGAAACACAGTCCGATACGAAACGAAAAGAGAAATTGCTGGGGATACTCAGCAGGTTTGGGTAGCATCTGTGAAGAGAAAGCAGAATCAACGTTTCGGGTCCAATGGCCTTTCGTCTGTTCTGACGTTCTCTTCCCCCCCCCCACAAATGCTGCTTGAGTTTCTCCATCACTTTCTGTGTTTGTCCCAGATTACCGGCATCTGCAGTACCTTTGCTTTTGTTGAAAGTGTTTGACCTGTGTGAGAAACTGGCATACAGCCACCTCTTAAAGTACGTTTAAATAATATATAAATGGATTAAATTTGAATTATTGACGCTGTAAGTCTGTTACATATGTTGAGTTAGATGAGATGTGATTGAAACAAAAACAGAGATTGCTGGGGTAACTTCAGAACAGAAGAAAGGCCACTGGACCCAAAATGTTGACACTTGCTCCCTCTCCACAGATGCTGCCAGATCTGCTGAGTTTTTCCACCAATTTCTTCAGCATCCACAGTTCTTTGTTTTATTGTGTGAAAAGGAGAGAATGGGCCCTCTCTACCAAAAGCAAAGTATTAAGACACAAACAAGAAGAGTCAGACTGGACTTGAAAGGTTAACTCTGTTTCTTTCTCTACAGATGCTGCCAGACCTGCTGGTTTTCTGCATGAATTTCTTTATTGTTTCAAATTTCCAGTATCTAGAGTATTTTCCTTTAATAAGGCACAAACAAGGCAAGGCTGCAGGTTGGAGATAGGAGCATGAGAAAATAAGAAACGGAGAACAGACATAATGCTGTCAGTTTCTGAAGTTTTGGAGTTCCGTGTTGAGACTTCGAGGCTATAAAGTGCCGAAGAGGACAATGAGGTGTTGTTCCTTGGGATTGCATTGGACTTCATTGGAACATTGCAGCAAGCCCAGGATAGAAATGTTATAGTGAGAGCAAGGTGATTTATTGAAATAGCAAGTATCTGGGAGGTCAAGGTCATTGCTGCAGAGAGAGCACATGTATTTTACAAGACTGTTAATTAGTTTGCATTTGGTCTTGTCAATGTGATCATTGTGAGCAGCGACTGCAGTTAACTAAATTGAAAGAAATACAATTATAATGCTGCTTCACCTGGCACCTGGATGATGAGTTTGGGGCCTTGGGCAGTGAGAAAGGAGGAAGATGGCCAAGCTCTTTGTTTGCATTGCATGTTGGGTTGGCTGAATTCTTATGACAGCTTTCACATCCATCCACCCAGGATGTCTCAACATGCACCTCAGCCAATTTGGAAATGCACATGCAATTATGGCATAGAAGTACAGCCAGTTTGCAATCAAGGTGTCATAAACAACAATATGGTAAGATCGCTGGATGTTCTATTTTAGCTGATGTTGTTTTGGGGATAAATATTCACCATCCCTGCTCTTCTTTGAATAGTAGCATGGTATTGTTAGCACATACTTGAGAACCCAAATAGAGAATCAACTTAGTATCCCATCTGGCAGGTCAATATTTTCTCAGCACTGTATAGAAATTTCAACCTGGATGTGGTGGGTCACCTTCTTGATGTGCTACAATCTACATTGTAAAGTACTTCCACGGTGCTGTTAGACAGGAAGATCTAGGGTTTTACATAGTGATGATGAAAATAAATAACTATATGTGTTGAGGCTGATTTGTTTGTCATTTGGAATGGAATTTAATGATGTTTCTGTGCACATTCTAAGTCATGATTTTGGTGGTGCTATCAAAGAAATCCTGGCTTTTCAAATATTGGAGCAACCCATCCAGGTGAATGATAATATTATGTTATACTTCTGACATGAAGGATGAGGGGGCATCTAATTGAAACTTACAGAATACTGAATGGCCTGGACAGAGTGGATGTTGGGAAGATGCTTCCATTGGTAGGAGAGACTAGGACCCAAGGGCACAGCCTTAGAGTAAAGGGAAGACCTTTTAGAATGGAGATAAGGAGGAACTTCTTCAGCCAGAGAGTGGTGAATCTATGGAATTCACTGCACAGCAGGTTGTGGAGGCCAGGTCATTGAGTACATTTTAAAAGACTGAGATAGATAGGTTCTTGATTGTCAAGGGAATCAAGGGTTACAGGGAGAAAGCAGGAGAATGGGGTTGAGGTACTTATCAGCCATGATTGAATGGCGGAGCAGACTAGATAGACCAAATGGCCTAATTTCTGCTGCTATGTCTTATGGTCTTATGACATGTGTCTTGTAGCTTTTTGTCAGGAGACGAGACACGACACATTGTAGGCTACCTTGACCTGCTGTAGTGGCGATAAGATTTAGTGGCTGTTCAGGTCAGGTTGTGGTTAATGGTAATCAACCCCATCACTGGTTGAATGTTACCAGTCCAGCATGTCTAAATTACTTTGTGGACTTCTGATATAAACTGTTGGATTTATCCATATTTTTAATATGATTTAAGATTGAGTTAGTATACATTTGGGTATTCTGTGTGGCTGAGGGTAATAATTGTAAGTTTTCTCTAGCCATAGTGATTTCTTTTTAAAACTGTCCTTGAGAGCTGCTTTGGCAGTACTAATGGGTTTTTATGAAGGATGTTTCATGACTTAGCAAGATCAACCATCATGCTTTATGGTCTGTTAGAAATTTTGAGCCTTAGGGTTTTTTTATGCTTAGAGAATGCATCTGTAGCTTACAGGAGTGATTTTTTTCTAATTTTACTTTGTTTTGGGCAAATCTTGGATGGAAATTAGTGTTTTGGGATTATTGCAAATGTGGTTTTACTGTGTATAGAAATCTCTGAATTTGTGTTATAAATAAATATTATAGCGTATTCTATTATATCTTTATTTCTTTTGGTTAATAAACTTTAGTTTTATTTTAAAACATAATCTGCAATATTGTGCACTTATGTTTCAATGAGATACCACTTTGATCATATTTTGTTTTGTTTTAGTTTTAACAATCAAGCCAGGTTTCAGTCTGGGTTTTGACCTTTTCAGTGATAACATCAGCTGGGTTCATAATAATGTGACTCACATTTTAGATCATTCAGTAACAACTTGAATTTATATAGCATCTTTGACATTGTAAGATCCTGAGATTTCCCATGTGATAGATGTTACGTGTGCTTTCCAGTTTCTAGTATCAATGTACAATGAATCCCTACCCATTGGCTACTTTCCATGACTAATAAGCACTATATAATCTTTGATTTCGGTTTCACAACTAAAGGTCAGAGTAGACAGTATAGGACATTATAGCCTCACTCACTATGGGAGTAATATATTTGTGGCCTGACTTTCTACCCCTCTTTCAGTTAGGTCTCAACCTGCTGTAGATTAACATTACAAACACCTATGTACTGTGAATAATTAACTTGTCACCTTGTAACTTAGGCTGTCGTGATATTATTCTAGAACAGTTCAGTCCCATGTATAAAGCCCCACAACATGCCAGAGCTTGCATCCAGACACATTGTCTGGTTCTGTGCAAATTGTTTTACTCTGTGAATTATACAAATCTATTTTTATTAAACTTTCCCAATGTCAGATCTTTCCACATTGCCTCAGGGCCATACACATCCCGCAGCTGTGCAGTTAGACAACCAACCTGTACCTGGAGATCTACCAAGACAGCCGCTAATTGAATTCCAAAAGATGCATGACAACAATAAAAGAGGTTTACCTATCGAAAATTGCTGGCCCCTGTAATGTTGCTGTCCTACAGCAAAGCAGCTAATACAAGGAACACACTTGAAGACAGAAGTATGACCTCCCCTACAAATAACTGCTTATTGGTGTTCCAGCGTACCCCAGTATCTCACTGTCAGAGTCCCGCACAAGGAGTGCCATGAATAATTTAGGCTGATATAGCAGTGTACAACAGGAAAGCTGCATTACTCAAGATTCTGGTATGATCTCATTAAAATCAATAACTTTTAAAAAGGAATGAATTTCTTCGTGATTGGCAGATCCAAAGGACAAGATTAATGCTTTTAGACCATACTGTAACAAGCTAAGATCAACTGCATTAACCATTAATTAACAGACAATTAATGCGTCAATCTAAGGAAATGGTGCATTTGCATTAACTCATAACCAAAATGTTTCTTAAAAACACTTTGATACAATGCCTCATTTCTGTCTGATATGTAACATTATAGGAATAGTCCCACAGCACTTCCCAGCTCTCCAAGAGGCTCACATTTCCCTTCCACATTCAACAGTCATTCCACTCAGCCCAAATTTTCCAGATCCAGTTGTTGCAAGCAAGGCACAGTTCTGTGATCTTCAAAAGGGCCGTCTGTTCTGTTCTCGTTTTCACAGAAATTTCTGTGAATTCTTGCAAATTGGTTGGTTGTTAATGCAAAACAGTTCGCTTGCTTCCCAACAGAACTAATCTTGTTTCCTGCAGCAGCTACTCCTTCTCTGTTCTACACCGTGCGAGTTGGTAAAAATAGCAACTACACTTTATTGGGTTCCTGCTTGAGTTTCTTAACCCATGGCCACTCAACCACACTTGTGTGGCTCTGGGTGGACGTATTTATTTAGAGTTCCCTTTTATTTTAATTAGAAGATACATTTCAAAACATAAATGTCTGAAGAGTTTTTACAAGATCCTACCCACCTGTTCTGTGATCTAAATAAATGCTAAAGTTCCCATTACACCAAATGAGGAAGAGCTCTCTTGATATTTGCAATAATACTTTGAAAAATATTCCTAGCTACGCGGAATGGCTGTCATTTTTACCACTCAACACTTTAATAACTGCAATTATGTAACACTTTGTTGCTCTTTATTTATCTGAAATTATCTGGGCAT